TACACACACACACACACACACACACGCAGGCGCGCGCACGCGCCGATTGGTGCATTCCCCAGCGTGCGTGTTTCGGAAACCACGGCTCACTGCGCGACGGACCCCTTGCTGGGACGACCTTAGCTTCGCGGACAGCGCCTCCCTCGCGGACGGCTGGGCGGACGACTGGACAGCCGTCCCCGCGACCCCCGCGACGGCCCCCCGCGACGGCCCCGCACGACGCTCCCCGCGACGGCCTCTCGGCGACGACCCTCACGACGGCGGCCCCCGCGACGGACCCCCGAGACGAGCCCCGCGACGGTGACCGCCAAGGCGGGCGCGAGGACGACCGCGGCCACCACGACTTCGGGGGAAAAACATCCACTCCATAATAAACACCCCGAGACGCGAAGTCGATTACTAAACGCCCTCACTGAAGGAATCGAACAGGGCCGGGCTGTTCAGGGAACGTCCGAGGCCGTTTAGTAAACGCCAATTGTCGGGTCCGGTTGGTTTTTCCTCCCTTGACGATTGCCACTGCGACAGTCCCCGCGACGCGCCTCGCGACGGCCTCCAGCGACGAGGAGGGCGCGACCTCGGACGAGGACGCGGGGGAGAACGAGGACGCGACCGCGGACGACTCGACGCGTCGAACCCACTCCTGGCCGCCTGGCGGCAAAGACGTCGGCAGCTCTACAGGTGGTGAGCCACAATTTTGAAAAGCAATGAGTGCTACTCTCCTCTCTCCCCTGGTGGCGTCCGTGGAATGTCCGGCCCCCCTCCGCGTGCTGGTTTTTTGACGCACAGTTTTTTCTGTGAGATTTCTTTTGTCAAAATGCTGCTCTCGCTGAAGCAGTGGTTTCATTTTCGGGCTACCGCTCGTTCCGAATCGTGCTCCCGCTGCATCGTTGGCCTCATTTCCGCGCTTCCGCTCGTTCCGAATCGTGCTCCCGCTGCAGCGTTGGCGCCATTATTTCCAGCGCCGTGCCAGGGCATGGTTTTCGATTCTTCCCAATGGGCCCCAAAATCTAGAATATGCCCCCCCGAAAAAAACCATCGGAAGTGATTACACATTCGGTGTCGATTAGTTGATTTCTGGGGCCGCAGAAGACCCCCCCCATTTTGGGGCGTCGCCACGCCATGTTATGTCAGGCTACGCGTGCTCATTTTCGCGCCTCCTTTTCTTTTGTTATTAAATTGCTGCTCTCGCTGAGGCGGTGGCCTCATTTTCGGGGTGCCGCTCGTTCCGAATCGTGATCCCGCTGCAGCGCTGGCCTCATTTCCGCGCTTTCGCTCGTTCCGAATTGTGCTCCCGCAGCAGCGTTGGCGTCAATATTTCCAGCGCCATGCCACGGCATGGTTTTCGGTTCTTCCGAGTGGGTCCCAAAATCTAAAAAATGCCTCCCCAGAGAAACCATCGGAAGTGATTCCACATTCGGTGTCGATTCGTTGATTTCTGGGGCCGCAGAAGACCCCCCCCATTTTGGGGCGTCGCCACGCCATGTTATGTCAGGCTACGCGTGCTCATTTTCGCGCCTCCTTTTCTTTTGTTATTAAATTGCTGCTCTCGCTGAGGCGGCGGCCTCATTTTCGGGGTACCGCTCGTTCCGAATCGTGATCCCGCTGCAGCGCTGGCCTCATTTCCGCGCTTCCGCTCGTTCCGAATCGTGCTCCCGCTGCAGCGGTAGCGCCATTATTGTCATGCCACGGCATGGTTTTCGATTCTTCCAATGGGCCCCAAAATCTAGAATATGCCCCCCCCCGAAAAAAGAAGAAGAAGTGATTACACATTCGGTGTCGATTAGTTGATTTCTGGGGCCGAAGAAGCCGCCCCACTGGGGCGTCGCCACGCTATGCTATGTCATGCGTTGGTACTCGACCCCATGCTATGCCATGTAATGCTATGCCATGCTGCGACATCCGATTGTGCGAATAGAGAGGAGATCTACGCCATGGTAAGTTATGGGAGTGAGGGATAGGACAGCAGATATGACGCCAGCGCGCCTAGCTTGGTCTTCCCCCCCTCGCCCCACTGCCCACTCCTCCCTGCAGTCACTTGATCCCCAGTTCGGTTTGCCTATTGGATACTTAGAAAAGGCTACGGGTTGGTGTCTCCTATTGTTACTTTGCCCGTTGCCCGGAAGTTCCTCGGATTCCCCGGGTTCATCGGGTTACCCGCCCCCAGCGCCTCGTATTCTTACGTTGCCCGTTCCTCGGAGGTTCCTCGGGTTCCCCGCCCTGGTTCTTGGTGTTGTTCCCCAGCAGTGCCAGGCAACGTCAAGCGACGCCGAGCATATCACAGCAGCGCAAAGCAATGCCAAACAATGTCAAGCAACGGCAAGCAAAGCCAAGCAACGCCAAGCAATGCCAAGCCGTACAACTTAACGCGAAGCAATGCCAAGCAACGCCAAGCAATGCCAAGCACCGCCAAGCACCGCCAAGCAATGCAAGGCAACGCTAAGTAATATGTAACACCCCGCAGTTGCGGATAAGAGTGAGGGGGCTGCGAGGACGTCCTCAGTCTGCGAGGCTCTGGAGAAGCCCGCCGCAGGCGCCTAACTTTTCCGAATTATGCATTGAGCCCTCCGCAGGCACCGATTGTGGGTGGGTCGCGGGTGGGTCGCGGTTGGGTCGCGGGCCGGGTCGCGGGTGGGTCGCGGGCCGGGTCGCAGGTGGGTCGCGGGTGGGTCGCGCGGTGGGTCGCGGGGTGGGTCGCGGGTGGGTCGCGGGTGTGTCGCGGGGTGGGTCGCGGGGTGATGGGGGGTGGGTAACGGGGGGGTCGCGGGTGGGTCGCAGGGTGGGTCGCGGGGTGGGTCGCGGGGTGGGTCGCGGGATGGGTGGAGGGGTGGGTAACGGGGTGGGTCGCGGGGTGGGTCGCAGGGTGGGTCGCGGGGTGGGTCGCAGGGTGGGTCGCGGGCGGGTCGCGGGCGGGTCGCGGGTTGGGTCGCGGGGTGGGTCGCGGGTGGGTCGCGGGGTGAGTCGCGGGGTGGGTCACGGGGTGGGTCGCGGGGTGGGTCGCGGGATGGGTCGAGGGGTGGGTCATGGGGTGGGTCGCGGGGTGGGTCGCAGGGGGGACGACGCAATAAAACAAAGTAACAAAACAGCAACAAGAATCCTCTCTGTGGATCCCCTCTGCAGCCACGCACCCAGGGACAGTGAATGACCGTTCGGCCCCCTCACTCTGACCAAGCAGCGCCAATCAATGCTAGGCGACGCAAAACAAAGCCATGCAAAGCCAAGCAATGTAAAACAATGCCAAGCAACGGCAAACAATGCCAAGCAGCGACAAACAATGCCAAGCAACACCAAGCAATGCAAAGCAATGCCAAGCAATGCAACACAATGCAACGCAAAGCAGTGCATGCCAAGCAATTCCAAGCAACGCTGCTTAGGAAGCGTTCCCCTTATTGGTGCCGCGCCCGGTTCATGTTCGCAGGGCTTGGGAACGTTCCCCACGTCGACTTCCTTCCCTTCTCCATCCACCATTCGTTCATCCGCCCCTCCCCCTACTGCGCGGCCAGCTGGAGCGACCAAACTCCAGGACTAATTGAGGACGAATACGGCTTGCCTCACACTAGACAGCACAGTCCATTCGTTTGACAACTACGCTTGGCCAGGGATGGAGGGGGTCTCATAGCATTGGAGGGTTACATCTGTGGAGGATGGACGAGGATTCGAAGATGAGGGCACCTCCCCTTGGTGCGGATTAAGCCTATGGCCCGGCCTCGCTTGTCGATCGCAGACGGCGCCCAGGGGGCGGGGCCAGTTCCTTTTTCTACTTGAGGACTGTTTTGCAGTTGGGAGGAGGATGATCTTTTGCTTGTCCTTCTGTTCTGCCCCCCCCTTGATCCGACCGGACTAGGGGGGATGGTCAGATGGTCACGTCTGTGGGATATTCAGAGCATCAGCTTGTCAGCTTGTCAGAAGGATGAGGAAGGACGCGGACGAGGACCAACATCACCAGCAGGAGTTGCAGTGGACAGAAACGTGAGGAGCAGGAGGACCAGGGGAAGGCAGAATAGGGAGCATGAGGGTTTCCGACAACGATGAAAATGGTTCGGGTCCAGAAAAGTGGCCCGCGCTTTGGCGAGAACGCCATTCTTGAACGACGGGAACAAAGTGCCGATCCTGATCAATGGCCTGAGTACGCTGCAGAGGGACAACCATTGTGAAACACCAGAAGCAAGCGGTAGTAAAAACCATACGAGACACCATTTTCTAAAATCCATTGTGTAAAACAGTACGCAGAGAGGGGCGAACATGTTCTGTATCGTTGTTGTGGCGGGGTGGGGAAGAGGACAAGGAGGATGAGGCGAACACGATCGTCACGGGGGGCGAAAGCTAGGATGGGCCCAACGGGAGATACATTGGTTTTCAATCGTTGGTTTATTGCTGGTCGGTTCTTGGATGCCCGACCCTGCTCAGGGCCCCCGCCGCAATCCAGCCCGTGCAAGACATGGTAGCTTGCTGCGAGGCTGGACTTCCTACCGTTGCATGACTTGTCGACGGTTCTGTGTGGGAGGTCGTAAAAGGGCTTGCCGCCGCATGCTCCCTTGCGAGGGTGAGGCTGCCCCTCGTCCCCGCTCGGATGCCTTTACTTCGAGCTGGCAGGACGCTTGCAGATTGGCGCTGTTGTCATCTCTGGGATCCTCATCTTTCTTCTCGTGCTCATCCTCCTTTCGTATGCGCTTTCCCCATGCCTCCCTCGCGTCTCTGGTGAGCATGGACCCGTACACAGGAACGCCAGGTTTCTGCACATTCTGAGCCCCTGGAGTCAGGTTCCTGCGAGGTATGGTGCGCAAAGGGAGCGTGTGTGAGGGCGAGCACCGCCAGGGCAGCAGTATGAAGAGCAGTGTGGAATCCCACAGTGTGGAGGAGCAGGGAGGAGCGAGAATGGACGAGTAGGGGGGAGGAGGGAAGGAGGGAAGGAGGAAAATAGGAACGAGGGTGCTTTGCCGCAACGCGTGTGCATTCCTGGCCTGCTCTGGGTCCTCTTCCCCGTGCTCCCTCCGTATCCGTCCTGGCTCCAGGTCTGGTGGGGCCCCCTCCTGGACCAGGGAGGGGGGCTCCACCAAGCCACACGCGGTTCTCCACGCCACCAGGCTGGCGGCGGGCAGGACCGCGCGTGGCTGTGCGACCCGGGGAGCAATGTGGTCCGGCGGCTCCGCACCGCCGGCCGGGCAGTGGGACGCTGGCGCCGGAGCCGCAGCCGCGGGCGCGGGGCAGAGCGCCTCGGACCTCCACAGCCTGTGGGCGGACAAGGGCGCGCGCGAGTTTGTGCCCGGCATGCCCTCGGGCTCGGCCTTCCTCGGGGGCGGCAGACAGGGGGTTGATGACTAGGGAGGGGGGATATCATGGCGTGGGCCACGATATTTCCCCAGATCTCATGGCGCCTCTTTTCACTTCACTACGTCCCTGGCCCTCCCCCTGGGCCGCGCACATGCCGCCGGCCATGATTTGCACCCCCACCCTCTTGGACGCCCCCGTCTTGGCCGCCCCCGACTTCCCCTACGGCCCCAGGCCGGTCGCGCCAGGCGCGGGCGTTGCTGGCAACATGGGGCCGCCGCCGGGTCTTGTGGCAGGCTTTCAGAGTCCCGACTCATCAGGGGTAACTCGGGTCAGGGCAAACTCGGGCTCGTTTCTCGGGAACCCGAACCCGAGTTGCCCCTGGCCCGAGTTACCCCGGATGATTCGGGCGCCCAAGGCTTTCCGGCGGGCATGGGGCCCATGGCAGGCCACACAGGCATGCCTCCGTGGGCCCTGGGCGCCGGCTGGGGCATGCCCGCCCCTGGCGCATCGAGCGTGGAGGCGGCGGCCTGGCAGTCCTTTGGCGTGCCGCCCGCGGGGGCCCACCCGCACGAGCCGCCCGGCCAGCCGCCGGCGCTGGGCGGCGAGCAGAAGGGGGTGGTCTTAAGTCGGGCGTGTCCTTCTGCAGGAGGAAAACCCCCAAATAGTCGACATAATATATTCAGGGGGCGACTCTTCCCAACCATCCTGTGGTGTGGGTCCTCGTTTTGAAGAGACAGTGCCCCGCGTTACTCCTCCTCTCCTCTCCTCCTCCCCCTCCTCCTCCCTCCTCCAACAGGAGCGCCGCCCTCTCTCGTCTCCTCTCCTCTCCTCTCCTCTCCTCTCCTCTCCTCTCGTCTCCTCTCCATTTCGGCACACCCTCACACGTTTCGTGGCCCCACAGGGAACTCCACCGAAGGCCCCAATGGCTGCGTTCGCATGCGCCCACCACACCCATGTCGGCACACCACTCACACGCTTCGTAGCCCCACAGGGAACCCCACCGAAGGCCCATATGGCTGCGTTCGCACGCGCCCACACCATTCATTTCGGCACACCACTTTCACGTTTCGTGGCCCCACAGGGAGCCCCACCGAAGGCCCCTGTGGCTGCGTTCGCATGCGCCCACCGCACCAATTTCGGTACACCACTCACACGTTTCGTGGCCCCACAAGGAGCTCCACCGAAGGCCACAATGGCTGCGTTCGCATGCGCCCACTGCACCAATTTCGGTACACTCCTCACGCGCTTCGCGGCCCCATAGGGAGCTTCACCGAAGGCCCCAGTGGCTGCGTTCTCATGCGCCCACCGCACCCATTTTGGCACACCCCTCACACGTTTCATGGCCCCACACGGGGAGCCCCACCGAAGGCCCCTGTGGCTGCGTTCGCATGCGCCCACCGCACCCATTTCGACACACCCCTCACACGTTTCGTGGCCCCCAGGGAACTCCACCGAAGGCCCCTGTGGCTGCGTTCGCATTCGCCCACCGCACCCATATCGGTACACCACTCACACGTTTCTTGGCCCCACAAGGAGCTCCACCGAAGGCCACAATGGCTGCGTTCGCATGCGCCCACCGCACCCATATCGGTAATTACGCTCCTCACACGCTTCGCGGCCCCATAAAAGGGGTTCCACTGAAGGCCCCAGTGGCTGCGTTCGCTTGCGCCCACCGCACCCATTTCGGCACACCCCTCACACTTTTCGTGGCCCCACAGGGAACCCCACCGAAGGCCCATGTGGCTGCGTTCGCATGCGCCCACCGCACCCATTTCGGCACACCCCTCACACGTTTCGTGGCCCCACAAGGAGCTCCACCGAAGGCCACAATGGCTGCGTTCGCATGCGCCCACCGCACCCATTTCGGCACACCCCTCACACGTTTCGTGGCCCCACAAGGAGCTCCACCGAAGGCCACAATGGCTGCGTTCGCATGCGCCCACCGCACCCGTATCGGTAATTACGTTCCTCACACGCTTCGCGGCCCCATAAACGGGGTTCCACTGAAGGCCCCAGTGGCTGCGTTCGCTTGCGCCCACCGCACCCATTTCGGCACACCCCTCACACGTTTCGTGGCCCCACAGGGAACTCCACCGACGGCCCCAGTGGCTGCGTTCGCATGCACCCACCGCACCCATTCCGGCACACCCCTCACACGTTTCGTGGCCCCACAAGGAGCTCCACCGAAGGCCACAATGGCTGCGTTCGCATGCGCCCACCGCACCCATTTCGGCACACCCCTCACACGTTTCGTGGCCCCACAAGGAGTTCCACCGAAGGCCACAATGGCTGCGTTCGCTTGCGCCCACCGCACCCATTTTGGCACACTCCTCACACGCTTCGCGGCCCCATAGGGAGCTTCACCGAAGGCCCCAGTGGGTGCGTTCGCATGCGGCCACCGCGCCCATGCTGGCACACCCCTCGCACGTTTCGTGGCCCACAGGGAACTCCACCGAAGGCCCCAACGGTTGCGTTCGCATGCGCCCACCACAGCCATGTCGGCCTACCCCTCACACGTTTCGTGGCCCCACACGGGGAGCCCCACCGAAAGCCCCTGTGGCGGCGTTCGCATGCGCCCACCGCACCCATATCGGTACACCCTTCACACGTTTCGTGGCCCCACAAACAGCTCCACCGAAGGCCACAATGGCTGCGTTCGCATGCGCCCACCGCACCCATTCCAGTACACCCCTCACACGTTTCGCGGCCCCATAGGGAGCTTCACCGAAGGCTCCAGTGGCTGCGTTCGCATGCGCCCACCGCGCCCATGCTGGCACACCCCTCACACGTTTCGTGGCCCACAGGGAACTCCTCCGAAGGCCCCAACCGCTGCGTTCGCATGCGCCCACCACGCCCATGTCGGCACACCACTCACACATTTCGTGGCCTCACAGGGAGCCCCACCGAAGGCCCCTGTGGTTGCGTTCGCATGCGCCCACCGTACTCATTTCGGCACACCCCTCACACGCTTCGTGGCCCCATAGGGAGCCCCACCGAAGGCCCCTGTGGCTGCGTTCGCACGCGCCCACCGCACCCATATCGGCACACCCCTCACACGTTTCGTGGCCCCACATGGAGCTCCACCGAAGGCCAAATGAATGCGTTCTCTTGCGCCCACCGCACCCATTTCGGCACACCCCTCACACGTTCGTGGCCCCACAGGAAGCTTCACCGAAGGCCCGTGTGGCTGCGTTCCAATGCGCCCACAGAACCAATGTCGGCACACCCGTTGCGCGTCTCGTGGCCCCACAAAGAGACTCCACCGAAGGCCCCGGCATAGCCCTCATGCGTTTCGTGGTCCCTTAGGGATCGCTACCGAAGAAGATATTCACGCTTGCGGTCTGCACAAATGCATATGGTTGGGTCCTTCGCCCGGATACTTGCATTATTGTTGGAATTGCTTGGAGTATTTAAGCCGGTTTTTGGGATGTTTCGTCCAATATCCGCCTGTAGGAGAACGTGCCCGACCTAAGGGTTGCCCGCTCAGAGGGGGGCGGTTTTGTCGAGAGGGCGGGGGGGGGTCCACAAGAGCTCTCCTGACTCGGAGGCCCTCTCAGAGGTCTCCAGGGCATTCGTTTTGGGGAAGACAATCGTTGGGATGGGGCTCGAGACGTCGGGGGCCTGACTCGGGAAGTCACTACAGCGCCGGTTGGTCAGGGAAGAAGGTGGACCTTCCCAGGGCCTTCGACAGCGCTGTCAGAGCGTTCCAGATTGCCCGGGAACGGCCGGGGCGCCCGACATGGTCCAGATCAGCCGGCTCGCAGAGATCCTCGATTTGTCTCGATCCAGTTCTGCCCTCTTCCTGTCGTCGTCTTCCTTGAGGATGGGGGGCAACACGAGATCTCCGTCTGCATCAGGAGCAACGGTGAGGGGGGCCAACCTCAAGTCTCCATCTGCATCGGCCCCCAATTTCTCACTCATCGCTGGCAGGGGCCTGATATTCCACCACGCCCAGACATTGAGATTTGATATCGGTTCCTACAGCCGATCTCGGCAATGTATCGCCGATTCCAGGTCGATGTCCCCCCCCCAGCCATTCTCCCCCAATCGTTCCGTCTCACCCCCCCTCCCGTGCCAGCGACCAGAACCACATGCCAGACACAGCCCCCTGGGACCTCCTGGGGTCTTCTGGGGCCTCCTGGGGCCTCATGGGGCCTCCTGGGACTTCCTGGGGCCTCCCGAGGCCTTCTGGGACCCCCAGAGGAAGAGGAAGCCAGTGGAAAAGTGTGTGCGTCAACAGCGAATTGGCCCTGGCCTTTCGGCTCGCCGAGCGGTCCGAGTGGAGCGACGAGGAGAAGCCTCGCCATGGCGGGGAGAAGTACATCACACAAGAAAGAGTGAGCCGTGACCAGAAGCAGCGCGCAAAGGGCCTAGCGTGGACTGCTCAGCCCATGGGGCAACTCCGGGTGGCGAAGGCGATCATCGACGCGGAGGAGCAAAGCAACCAGCCGAAAAGGTCGCGCAACCAGAGAAACGAGAAGGGCCTCGAGCGGTCCAGGGATGCGTCGAGGGCCGTGGTGGTGGGCATCGGGAATAACGGGCATCTTCGCGGCTTTCAGCAGGGCAGGGGGCCTCTTCCTCGCCCTCGGTTTTGTCGTCGTCCTCGTTATCGTCCGCGTCGTCCTCGCGCCCCGCGCCCTCGTCGTCTTCCTCTTCGCCCTAATCCATCTCCGCATCGGATGGCTCCGCGGGTCCTCGTCGCCATTGGCCTTTTTCTCCTCCTCCTCGTTCTCGTCATTGCCCTGGTCGTCTTCCTGTTCATGCCCCTCCTCCTTCTGGTCGTCGCGGTCGTCGTCGTCGCCGCCATCCCCCCCCCCTCGCCGCGCCTTCGCCCCCGCGCGGCCCCTGGGCGCGGCCCGAGGAGGCTTTCCAAGGCCGCCCCCTTGCTCCCCGAAATATTTGCGTTCACCCCTGTTACTCGCTTTGTTTCGCTTGATGCGTCTCTTCGTCCTTTATCCCGTCGGCTCTCCAGGCTGGGGTCTCTCAATGGGCTGCCGGAATAATCGCGCGGGGCGGAAAATAATTTGAAATCAATCCGGTGCGTTATATTTGTGCACGTGTATATATACATATATATATGTCTGTATATAAGTGCGTATATAATGTGTATGTATGTATGTATGTATGTATGTATGTATGTATGTATGTATATATATATATATATGTGTGTATATATATAAGCGCTTTCGGCGGGCGCTCGGAAGGGGCGGGGGGTCGGGCGGGGAGCGGGCCGAGATGCAAGGGGGGTGGGTCGAACCAGGTTTGGGCCCTCCTCTCAAGGAAGGCGGGTCGAACCTGGGGGAGGGGGGTTTAGAGTTGCAGCGTGGGGGGGTCGCATCGGGGGGCGGGGGGCGGGGGGCCGCGCCCGGGGAGGGGCGGGTGGGGGCTTCGAAGTGGGGTGCAGAATTGGGATCGGAGCGCTCCCCGCCCTGGCCCGGGGCGCGGGAATTCGGGCCGGGGGGGGGGGCCTCCCCCCTCAGCCGAATGCAAGGGGGGGCGGCGGTGGCGACGGCGGCGGCGGTCGTCGTCGTCGTCGGCGGCGGCGGCGACGACGACGATGCTGATGGCGATGGTGATTGTGGTGATGGTCGTGT